TAAAACCTACAGTAAAGAGGTATCTCAAAATATTATAACAGTCAACATGGAGATATATATATAATAATTTATAGAACCTACAGTAAAGAGGGATCTCAAAATATTATAACAGTCAACATGGAGATATATATATAATAATTTATAGAACCTACAGTACAGAGGGATCTCAAAATATTATAACAGTCAACATGGAGATATATATATAATAATTTATAGAACCTACAGTAAAGAGATATCTCAAAATATTATAACAGTCAACAAATACCAAAATTTATAAAAGCTTTTTGTAAAGCAACAGCTAAAACTTTTATTAAAATTCAAGAATTAGTCAATCATGAACACAGTGCCAATCTTGAAAATACATTTGTGTCATCAAATAAATGATATATATATATATACCTATATTGTATATAAATATATTATTTACTGTATTAAGAATTACTGGAAAGGTTTTGGGGTTTACCGAATTCTCTAAGCTTCGCCACCATTGTCTATATATATATAGCTAATATGTAAATGAACCTAAGAAGGATTAAAACTTGTAAGGATTAAAAGGTAAATTTAGTTTCACAGCTCAATTTATCCTTAAAAACTTAAGTAAAGTAAGCAAGAAAGAGACTAATAGTGAAATAGAAACATATATCATCACAATGTTGATATAAGGAAGAGACAAATGATGAAATAGAAACATATATCATCCCCATGTTGATATAAGAAAGAGACAAATGATGAAATAGAAACAGATATCATCCCCATGTTGATATAAGAAAGAGACAAATGATGAAATGGAAACATATATCATCACAATGTTGATATAATAAAGAGACTAATGATGAAAGAGAAACAGATATCATCACAATGTTGATATAAGGAAGAGACTAATGGTGAAATAGAAACATATATCATCACAATGTTGATATAAGAAAACGATTAATAGTGAAATAGAAACATATATCATCACAATGTTGATATAAGAAAAATATTAATTGTGAAATAGAAACAGATATCATCACAATGTTGATATAAGAAAAATATTAATTGTGAAATAGAAACAGATATCATCACAATGTTGATATAAGAAAGAGACTAATAGTGAAATAGAAACATATATATCATCACAATGTTGATATAAGGAAGAGACAAATGATGAAATAGAAACATATATCATCACAATGTTGATATAATAAAGAGACTAATGATGAAAGAGAAACAGATATCATCACAATGTTGATATAAGAAAACGATTAATAGTGAAATAGAAACATATATCATCACAATGTTGATATAATAAAGAGACAAATGATGAAATGGAAACAGATATCATCACAATGTTGATATTCTTTAGGCTAAAATAAATTATAAAGTGTCTGTTGCTCTACCCACTGTTTAGATATAGCGTAGTTAGCTGGTACCATACTGGGGCAAAGGTCTGCCAACTAACTGTCGTCAGAAATGTGTAGTACAATCGAATGTTTTCTAGCACAGGCATTGCTTGAAACAAGTCATCCGGCAGGAATACCAGCGGGTTGGAGCTGAAAAAAAACAAGCTTTACATTACTGAAAAATCTTCATTGATAAACATTTGTAAATAATGTACTGGTTTCCACAGATAAACATTTGTAAATAATGTACTGGTTTCCACAGATAAACATTTGTAAATAATGTACTGGTTTCCACAGATAAACATTCGTAAATAATGTACTGGTTTCCACAGATAAACATTTGTAAATAATGTACTGGTTTCCACAGATAAACATTTGTAAATAATGTACTGGTTTCCACAGATAAACATTTGTAAATAATGTACTGGTTTCCACAGATAAACATTTGTAAATAATGTACTGGTTTCCACAGATAAACTCTTCATTACCTCTAGGGTGTAGTGCTGTGGGGGGCACGTTTCAAAACACTAAAAGTATTAAGGTAAAATAAATTATTTAATTTACACCTGAAATTAAGTGTCTTTTATAAACAAATACTTAATCAACGGTTTCTTTTCTTTTAGCTATTCGTGTTGGCAGGATATAAGGTATACAAGACATTATCAAAATCAAGGTTTTAATTGTAAAAGTGCAGTTAGAAAGATACCCTGTTAGAAACACTGATTGGATCACTTTCACACTTCAGAATCATCGTCTGTTTCGAGACATTAATGCATGTAGGTGCAAATATGTTTCATGGATGATACACCCCCCTTTTATGATTATTACACGTGCGTGTGATGTTAATGTGTTTACGACTTCACTACACGGAACAAAGCAGTCATTATTTCTTTGAACATAGAGAGACTTTCGACAAGGCAGTTAACTAGAGAAATTGAATTTAACCAGTCTGTTGTGAGCCGCTGGGTACAGAGATATAGAAACAGACTGGCTGTGTGAAGTGGAGATATATAGAGAGACTGGCTGTGTGGAGTGGAGATATATAGAGAGATTGGCTGTGTGGAGTGGAGATATATAGAGAGACTGGCTGTGTGGAGTGTAGATATAGAGAGAGACTGGCTGCGTGGAGTGGAGATATATAGAGAGACTGGCTGTGTGGAGTGGAGATATATAGAGAGACTGGCTGTGTGGAGTGTAGATGTAGAGAGAGACTGGCTGTGTGG